AAAAAAAAGGCGAGATATTATCTTACATACACTTCCTATGATTGTACGTAAATCTAAAAATTAAGCTTCTCCACTTTGCGATCTCGTACGATGTTGTTACGATGATGAGGTTGCTAGGACTACTCTAATGAACTGACAAGTACGATAATAAATGTAAAAAAAAAAGAAAAAAGTGGTGGCGGGCAACTCGATCTCTCTGTATTGTGTGGTGATGAATGAAGTGACTGTGAACGGTTTATTATCACTTAAAAAGGTATCTACTTATATCTAGAGCCGTTATTAAAAACTGAGCAGATGAGATAATTTAAGCGAAATATGTTAGCCATATAAAACGTTCATGGCGTAGTAAAACAGGACAAAACATTACAACGAAATTAAGCATGAGATTCAATATAATCATTTTTTGTTTGTGTGTCAACAAATTGAAAACTAAATAATGAAGAAGATGTAGTGATTCTTATCAAATTGAAACGTATGACAGATTAATAAGTTAACAATCACATCAATCAGTTCAATAATTATGTACGAAACGATAATTAGTAACGAGACAACTGTACCAAATACGAGTACTGCGGCAACCCGACATGCCGCGTAGGGGGAAAGTAATGCACCAACTCAAACGGAACGTGTTTTTCCAGGGCTCCATATTTACAAAGATATAAAAGTACCAATGACACCTATAGTTTACCATTTTTTATGGGTTTCGGTAACGTGCAAGGAAAGCTTTGTGTTTATATATGACAAAAATTTAAAACTACGACGCTGGCAGGCTAAGACGGGGGTGGCGGGACGGGGGAACTCGACTCGGCCCGACTAGCCCGCCACCCAAACAGAGAGATCGAGTGCCCTTGCGCCGCCCATACACCGCCCGCCTAACCTGATTCTGAATCAGACGAGTCACTGCTGGACGAGGATGATGAGCCCGAACTACCCGATGAGCTTTCTGAAGACGAACGGGCACGATTTCCGGCATGTCGAGATGCATCCGCCGTCGATGCGCCTGGAACGTCGTCATTCACGTACATTACAACATATTTCCTTTCGTGTTATAACTAAGTGTACAACTTACCATTTTTGCTGGGCTGTTGCGTTGACACTGTGCCACCAAGCTTTTTGATTTTGTCCTCGATTTCCCGCTTCCGTGTTTCATTGTCACTCTTGACGGCTGCAAAGAGCAAGCAGAGCATAGATGTAAATTCAGCTTATCACAGCAAACTCACTCTTACGTGGCTTTCGTTTCAAAGCTGCCGCAACAAAAGCCTCCAAATCACGAAGTGTGACTGCTTTCAAGGTCTCGAAATCAATCTCAATCTCCTCTGGACTGATGTCCTGAAACGTTCGACTGAAGCTCCAAAAAAATGTGGCGTGCAAGAATACTCACAGACAAATCCTCCCGACTTTCGATGATACTGACCACCATACTAAGCTTATCACCAGGTAGTTTATTGATATCTAAGCTTAGCTGACGCTTTTCGTCGTAAGACATGGGTTCATGCGAAGCCTCATCGCCAGAATCAAATTCGTAATCGTCCTTCCAAGGTTTCCCGTTTGCGGAGCTTTCCGCTTTCGGTTTATTTTTAGATCCGGGTCGACGTCCACGACCGCAGTAAAGTTTTGCCGGTTCAGAACTGGTGTGCGCTGTTGCTGGGCGCTTCAAATCTCTCCTCGGCTGGAAAACGCAAAATAGTACACATTCATGGAGCGACTGAAACAAACCATTGTTGAGACGGAAGTGGCTGGACCGTTCGACAGTGGAGAATCCTCCTTTATATGAGTGACAACAGGAGCTCTGCGAGCTCTTGTATTGGATGGCGTGTACGGCGGAACAGTAAAGGATGATGTCTGTGCCAAAAGTTTTTCCAAGGATTTTACTGCCTCAAGAATTGCACTTTGCGGAGCATCTTTGCTTTTCAACTCTCGTATCTCAGTGAGGCGAGAAGTGATACTTTCTGCAAACCCCAACGACTTCTCTTTCAGATTTTCCCACTGAAAATTTTACATCAATAGGACTATATTACATAATGATGGAACTAACGCTGCTAAGGTAACTTTCGAGGTTGTCTTCGTCGTCGGCACCTTCGCAGGAAGTAGCAACAACATTCGTATCTGGCACGTCCTCATCCACCGGTAGATTTACCCACTGATTAAAAGCAAGATAGAGGGAAAAAAAATAGTTCACTTAGAGGACTAACCCTTTCATTGAAGGCTTGTAGGAGAGCTCGGCCGTGCTGATGGATAATGTCTGTGGCAGGATTATATTTGAAGCAATTATTGCAGACCTGTAGAACACAAACATTCCTTTGAGACTCGGACAAGAAAAATTCAAAATTTACCAGTCTGATGTCCTCGGCGAATTCCTGCGCATTGGCGTACTGTTTGTTGTCTAACTTCTTCTTTATTGTTCCAAGGTCCATAGGATTCGGAATTATATCATAATAGTCGGACAACTTCATCCCTTCCACATCGACGGGGACAAGAAACGGCCAATTAAACGACTGAACCTAGCTTACAGCAACACAGACAAACTCTTCACTCCAGCCTACCTTGCATTTCTTGCCCATCAACTCATGAAGGACCTTATGGCAAAATTTCATCGACTCTGTCGCTTTGCCCTTATATCTTGGAGGTAGTTGAGTGTAGTCGATGAAATGTGCCGGTTTCTTTATTGGTCGTGAAGACTCTCGCCGGGGCACCTTCAAAGTTACAATTATTGAGCTTAAAGCTAAATGATGACTACTACCTTTCCCGAGTCTTCGATCACCTCTTCACCACCAGTGGTTGTGTCAGCCTTTCTCTTAACACCTTTTTGTACTTTCAAAGGATGGAGAGTAGACGTGCTTATCTGGAAGCGACACCTACGAGTACGAAGAGACTTTATTGCAGGAAGGTCATACCGGCACATCAAGTGTAGCTCCACTAGAGGATTCCTCGACGACATTCGGTACGTCGGAATCTCCCAATACAGACGAGCTATCCGCGGCTCCCTTTTGGATGGACGACTCCCTCGATGCTGCAAGAATTTCCTTAGCGACTACAAACATGATCTCTGTTCGTGCATATATCAAAAGACTGCATAGGATAGGTGACGAGAATTACGTAACGAGACTAGCTGGATAAGCGAAAGTGAATCAAAATTGTCGTGGAGGTCTGCAGCGTTTATACAAGAACAATGCAAAAGATGAGCGGGACTATTCAGACCTCTGACCGTCGCGTTATGAAAATGCTCTAAGACGTGATGGGCATCCGGGCTCCCACCTCGAACGAATGACGCGGACTTGCGAGCACCTCCAAGGGCAGGAGAGGGACCTTTGCGCATGCTCTTCGGACCGCGTTTCGAAGACGGTCTCGCTATCTCCACTTCCTAAATGAAAATATCTAAAAAA